ACCACGCGAATGACCAAATTACTTCATATTCGCGAAGAATTTTGTGCTTTTATGCTTTTTTTCTGTTTCAACACTTGTCAGGTCAAATATTGGCTAATCTATTTCCTAGATAGGACTTTGAAGGCTCTAGTCGCTAGCTACAAAAAAGGGCAGTAATTTGTACTTTAGAAGTTCTCGGGATTACCGTTCGCATTAGCCAGTAGCTGACATTGGATGGTGGTTTTGTAAAAGAGCGCATTTCACTCTAAATTTAGACGTGGCATCAGTCGCAGTTCCGCCGTTCTTTGGCTCAAAACTTAGTTTGGCTCTTTTTCTTCATTTTCAATGACGAAAGTGAAAGTTTTCCAGTTCATTTACACTGCTGGGTAGAATTCTATGTATTAGTTAGTAGTATCTACCCGAAAAGTCGATGTCACTATGGTAACATTAGATACAAAATTCCAACATTTTCGTAGCGTAAAACAGCATTGGTACTTTGACTAGGTTTTTGCTGCTGCAGTGTCCTTTCTAAAATTTCTTTCGATAGCATTCTTTTTCTCTGTTTGCTTTCTGAGAATCCTTTTGTTCCGCAGGCCGGACGACGCCCTTCCAAGCTCACGATTATGATTAGAAATCTATGTTTTGTGATATATTTACGATTAGGCAAAACGCCGTGGCACGGCTTTCAATAATCGTTGTCGCATTATTGGATTTGGAATGACTACGATCTAACAACGAATAAGTTGTTTATGCATGCATTCAGGGTTCTTGGTTTATGAGTTGTTGTGTTCCGTTTCTTAAAGATCCTATTTCTTATCATTTGCTCTAATACATCATCTTTGCAAAGGTTCCATTACCTCTTCCGTCCATCTCTATGTATCACCAATCAATTTATCACTTGTTTTCCTCAAGTTGTACCTAAGTACGTAAGTGGTTGTTTGATGCTGCAACGTGTTCCCATTTCTTACAAAGTTCAGATTCTCTGTCTGCGTAGTACTTTTGTTTATCATTTTGCAGAAAATGCGCTCGTTCCTCCATCGATTTTCTATTTCTGCAGGGCTAATTACAGGCTTTAGACCAAGCATCTTATTTATGAAAGGGGCCTCATTTTCCCTCTTCCTCAATTCACTCTTACTTTCCTGTCTTATATTTATTCAAATCTACAGTTTTTTTGCTGTTTGTTTTCGTTTGAGATTCGTCTCGTTACGCCTGATACAAGTCAGGTGATTTTGTTACATTTTGATATGTTTTTCACTTGTGTATATCTCCTGCATCTTTACTCATGTTCCAACCCTTTCAAATCAAAGTCGTTGGTTCAAATTCAATGCCTTCCTTTCAATCGATTCTTTTAAAAGAATCATCCCACATGTTCGTAATTTAGTGCGTAGAAGGGTTTTTGGTCGAAATCTCTCTAAAGCTAAATAGCTTTCTTCGCGTTGAGATCAATTCTGTTTTCAGGATGCTGGCAGACCCTAAAGTCTGCGTGGGAGCTGCAGGGGTACCCAATGCTAATCCTCCTAAACCCGCTAGCGAGCAGAATAGTACTAGAAAAGCACAAGTGGTGAAAATTTTGGGCGAAGGTAGTGTTTTCCTATCTTATCTTTTGGGATTATCTATCACAATTTTCTTCTGATGATCTACTCTGTTTACCCGGGTGTGGCTGCTCAAAAGTAAGGTTGCGCGTGCCAAGCGTGACGCGAATTCGCCCATAAAAATATAATTAGTTTTCTTAGTAAAATGAAGCGTAAATAAGCAAAAGGCCGCATATGGATCAACGCAACCACATTTTCAATAATTTTGACTTGGGATATCATCAAACCTTCTATTTTTCTTCAAAGCAATCTTTTTTAAAGATGCTTTTTCCGTTCGATAAATGCTCAACAAAGATCGTAGAAATGGTGGAAGATGAGAAGGTGAGAAAGCTAAATTAGAATGAAATAGCAATGCGGATTAGAATTTTGACGTGTTTAAATGATTTACATCGAATAAATTCTGAAGAGAAAGGGTAGAAAAGAGAGAAGGTATCT